GACAAATATAGTGTCTAAAATATTAGCTTCAATGATACTTCGACGCCTAACTAAAGCTCGTGAAGAGCAGACTAGAGAAATCAGACTGGTTTTCGACCTGGACGTGGTTGTATAGACCAGATATTCACACTACGTCACATTCTAGAACACAGACAGACATTCAGACGCTCCACAATTGTAGTATTTTTCAACCTTAAGGCGGCATTCGACTCTGTTGATGGTGAGGTTGTATGGCAGTGTTTGTCACTGAAAGGAGTACCAGAGAAGTACATTAACCTTATAAAAGCGTGTCGATCGCTTCACTTATCTTGGGAGTCTCATTTAGCCCTTGTGGTCTGTTGTGTGACGAAATCTCAGCACGGATACAGAAGGCTCGACTAGCTTTTGCCAACTTGCGTCATTTATGGCGTAGGCGAGATATCCGTCTGTCGACCAGGAGACGTGTTTACTGTGCTGCAGTTCGTTCCATCCTACTTTATGGCAGTGAAACATGGCCGGTAAGAATAGAGGATATTCGTAGGTTAGTAGTATTTGATCATAGGTGCCTTCGAAATATTGCTCGTATATCCTGGGACCATCGAGTAAGTAACTCAGTTGTTAGGAAACGTGTACTAGATAAGGATGGCAAATCAATTGATGACGTAGTGAAACTGCATCAGTTGAGATGTCTGGGACGTGTGTTACGAATGCTCAACCACCAACTGCCTCGACGTGCGATGTTTTCTGGTGTAGGAGTAGGTTGGAAGAAAGCTAGAAGCGACCGGACCAAAACATGGCACAAGTTCATGAAGTCACTGACAAGTAAACTGAGTCATGTCGGTAGGTGTAGACTACCTGGTTGGGGACCGCGATATGATAGCAACTGATGGTTAGAGACCCTGAATGAAATGGCTCAAAATCGTTTGCAATGGCGCAGGTGCATCCACTGTTTGTGTCCTCCCAAAATTTTAATCTTAATTCTTCATGTCCTTTTCTTTTTTCTCCTTCCAAATTTATTTCACTGTATTATACTCTTTGAATAACATCTTCAACCCCTAATTTTTCTGATTACAGCTTATAATTTTACTACATCTGCACTACGGGATTTGAATCGACCACTGCATCTCTGTGCTAATGTGGCATGGCAACTCGAACTGATGTACGTAAGTACGAAGTTCCACGTTGTTACTGACTGACTGAATGACCATCAGTAGGTAGGGTACCTACAGTTGCTCCCTTGTTGATTTCGAATCTGGGTCAACCGGTCTCACAGTCAAACGTTACCACTACGTTTTCCTGCCGTGATCGGTCTCATATATGACTCGGATATTCATCCTGTGATTGGCCCCCTGGGTAGTGGCCGGTGTCATGTTTGAAACTAGCTACTAGTCATTGATTGTTCAACGTTTCCTCATATTCATCACAGAACTTAGTGATATTTCGTTAGATTCTGAATCTGTGGTGCTTAAATCTAAACAGCTCATGACGAAATATCTAAACAGACTGAGCAAGTTCTTAGTGTTTAATGCTATCAGTAAATCTTTGCATATTTTGTTGACATATCTCATTACTGAATAGCGTGTAAGTTGTTCATATACTTATTTTATTCAGTATTATTAATAGTCATACAATGTTTTTCTTTCAAATCGCCAGTTCTGACACGTGGTGAATTAGTATATAAGTCTCAACTTTCAGTCATCAAGTCCTAGGCTCGAACCCGCGTCTCCAGCTATTTCTGTTTGGGTAACTGGTTAGTATCATTAGCTCCCACAACCAAGGTGTAGCTCATGCCTGTGTATCTGCTTAATGATTTATTCTCAGTAAAAAATTGCACATTAACAGAAGTAAAATATGATTACATGCAGATACTGCATAATAATATTTGACCTCATCAGTGTGAAATGAAGCATCAGTATTATATCAGGCTAACAACTATTTTTTTCATCCACCTTAATTGTGCATTCATTGGTCATTGTTATTATACTCTTTTCTTGAGACTTTGATTAATTATGACCACTTATGTTCATAAGGTTTTTATGTTTGGTATGAATATTTAGATTTTAAAAATAAATTTCTCCATTCTTCAGCTTGATATAACGAGTGAGAATTGAACCGAGTAGTCTGAACTTGATTCACTTGATAATGAGCTACCTACAAAATTGATATTGAAAAAGTTTATAATTTTTAATTGTTATTTTTCTGTTAAGTTTTATATAATCCTGTTATTAATTTAATAAGAAAATACCTTTTATTCTTGTTTGTGGTCTTGTCTTTGACTGCTACGGTCTGAGGATCCAGGCAGTATCACAGTCTGCACCCAAATCAAGTGACTTATGTGGCGCATATGTATTCGGTCCCCGTTTTTACCAGCATTTATGCGTTCAAATAAATAAGTAAGAATAACTTTAAGCTATTCCAGATCTTAAGTCACTTTTTCGATCTCATGAGCGGCCCTTGCTTAGCCTCTTTTATTTTAACGATAGAAATTGTATTATCAAACAACAAAACCACTACTCCATCGCGCAACTACATATGATTTCAATGACTACTTTTCTGTTGATAAATATAAATCGGTCGCTTTTCAAAAGTTTTCTTTAGGTTTTTTCGATGTACCCGTCTGTGCTTTGCTTTCGACTGATTTCCTTGTAAATATAGTTCCTTTTTTTTGTATGTCATGTTTTGATCAATATTTACTTTTATGCTAACGAAAATACAGTTGAACTTCGGAAAATTCAACTGCACTGCTTACTTTATTTCATATGATAACAGTACCTAATTTGTGTATTAGAAACATTAGTCGAGGTGTTTTGCCTTTTGATTAGATCGAGAAACTTGTAATTTGTCTTGAATGCACATAATGATTTCCAAAATTTCATGCGATGTAAAAACAATGTTAATTCCTAAATTAGCTTTTACGTTTAATAGGAAATTATAGATTTTGTGTAGTGACTGAATTTCATACAATCTACGAATCGTGCAGTTTATAGTGTATCTGAAAGTGGCTTCATTAGTTATAGGCTAGTAGAAGCTTCAGTGTGTATGCTACTTCGATTGACTACAGGACAGTTTCCTTCCTACAAAAATCGGAGTATTCAGTTTGTCAATAAATTTTTAAGTGGTTTAAGACAATTAAACGCAAATTTTGTTCTTAGGTTTCGTGTTGATTAGAACTCTTTAGCCAGACATATCATTATTCTTCTGGAACATGGTGCTGCTGGTGCTATTCAAACCATTTATACAATATCGGAGTCAAATTTTGACTAAACGTTTCAGTACGCTACTGACTTGTGAAAATGTGATATTTACACTAACTTATCAAAACTCTTAGGGGATCATCAGTTTCTTCAAGTTGATAATAAGCTTAATTAATGATCGCCAACTACTACAAATCTATCAATTTCCTCTGGAAACTCCAAGTCGAAATATTTGAACCTGTGTTCTTGATGATGTTCTCTTCTATGTGTCCGATCGTCATCATCTTCGAAGAATTGCTAACATTCAGTGGTGACACTATGTTAGTATCGCGGAGGTTTTGTAACGTGTATTTGAGTACAGTGACTATAATTCAGTTGCCGTTATCATCTTGAAATACCAACTTCAGTGGCTTGGACACGTCTTACGAACTTCGTCCCAGCAAATTCCATATCGTGCATTATTTTTTACTCTGAGACTTGTTCGGAAAAGCAGAGGTGGTCAGTGTATAGCATAATACCGTGATATGAAAGAAAACAGCACAGGACTCATCTGCCGGTCCTTCATAACTTCCTGTTCCGTGTTCCTAGGTATAATGCAGCACAGTGATTCGAAACGCTTTTAGACATGGCTGAGAACTGAAGCCAGTGACGGTCCTGCTGTAATTTCCTCTTATTTACTTCATTTAAGTGAGAGAGGTTTCTCTTATTGGAAGGATGCTTTCTGGTTGTATTTTTCTAACTGAACTTCTCCCTTTACTATTGTTATCATTATTATTATATTATTATGCACTAATTTCTTTTCGGCTTTGTTCTTCTTTTTTACATTCGCCTTTCTTATTGTGTGGTACACAAATTTTGGTGTCTCTGTGCTAATATTTATTTGTTTAAATAAATAGAAACTTCTTTGACTTGATTCCATTGAATCGTTTTCTGATTACGCAACTACAACAAACTAATCCTTCTGAGATAAAAATCTGTTCCACCACCTCGAGATTAGTGTTCACTATACAATTTGATAGACAGAACTGTATTAGGATCAAGTAATTATTATGTTATAACATTTACTGATAAATTTCTCATAAATCTTCAGTTCTAACCTTCGTGTTGATGACTGCTTAGATTAAGTGCGATTGTTTTGCTAACTGTTCAGATCTGATGGCAATCTCTTTTTGTAGCATTGCGTATACTGGGTCGCTTGAATCCTGTTGATGTTTTAAAATCTTATTTAATTTACGCATATACTGGTACAACTGGGAATTAAGATAATTTATGACATCCTCAATTTCATGAATTATTTGCCTACGCTGAGACTTGGTGGGAAAAGCGGAGAATCATGGTCGGTTCATGAAATGGCGCCGTGGCACGTAAGGAAGCCGTATGGGACTTGAATCCATTAGTCCATCACGACTCCCCTGTCGGAATCCGAGAGATTGCGCAAAGCAGTGCCTTGTCATATAATCATCATCAACTTAGAGCCTGGTTCAAACCTACGTTGCTCAAGTTGCTGTACCATATGAACACGACGGAATAAAATTAAGAAAACATGTAGCGTAACAGATCAGAATAGCCTGGTGACAATAAAAATTAGAAAGAGTAACGTTTGGGAATAGGGCTCGGAAAGACAAAGTAAAGGGATTTTTGAAGGAATACTAGTATTCAAGTTTGATAAGCGAACAAAGAGTGAATGTTCCGAACCATTATGAGTAATGTCACCTAGTTTGCAGCTGAAAATCAGTGGTTTGAGACGTTGAACTATACAAACACTAACAAAATGACGCTCTAACTCCATAATGTAAGTTCTATTGTTTGTTTCTTCTATCTTCGTAGGTATATGCTTATGATGGATGATGATTTTTATAATGATTCAATTGGAGATCAAATTCTTTTGGAATTAAATATCACTAACTTTACACCAACGTTAACTGACAAAAACAAGCAAACTACGACATCAACTAAAGATGAAATTAATGGTTTAAATGATAACTCACATTCATTAATAACCATACCAGATCAATTTCTTGATTTCCCATATCCGAAACCATATTCACAACAACTTGAATTGATGCAAACCGTCTATAAGACATTAGAATCTAATTGTTGTGGTATATTTGAAAGTCCAACTGGTACTGGCAAATCATTGAGTCTATTAACAGCAACATTACGTTGGCTTTTAGATTATAATGAAAAACAGGTTTTATTATTAAATAGTCTTCAATCTCAGTTAAAATTAACGAATCATGAAAATAAAGAGAATAATTCTAAGGAATACGATTGGATAGTAGAATATGATAAAAACCGTTTATTAAAAAAACAAATTAAACCACAAATTGAAGATCTTTTGATCTATCAATCTAATTTACAATTAATTGAGAAAATGAAATCATCTTCCTTATCATTACTGTTTAAACATCAAACTGACTTTTTAAATGTTGATGAAATGACCATAACTGAAGCGAATATTGAAAGTATTGATATTGAGCAATTGAAAAATATAATAGACAATACCAATGATCAGTATGACTGCGATGATGAATTATTTTTATGTAAACCTGATGAAAACTTATTCGATAAAAATAAAATTATCGAATTAGATGAAATTGAACTGGAACAACAGTTTGAAAGTCAAGAACAACAAAAATCTGATAATGGATTATTACATGTAATTTATTGTAGTCGTACTCATTCACAACTCGGACAAATAGCCAAAGAATTTGCGAAATGTAAAACATTATTTAATAAAGTCACAATAATTCAATTATCATCAAGAAATTTGTTATGCACTAATGAGTCCATTTATCAGTTAAAACACCCAGATTTAATTAATATTGCTTGTCTTGAATTGAATCGACCGCGTAATCGTGAGCAAGGTCAATCGAAAGGTTTCAGATGTCCAATGCGTAACTCAACAGCTGTTAATAATTTATCCAAGCACCTATTAATTGGTAATTCAGCTTTAAATATAACCAGTAGTATTAGAGATAGAAAGTCAAGTAAGTCATCTAAATCGATCAATGTTTTGAGTAATTCTTTGGAAAAATGCCAAAAAGACGAGATGACAGTAAACGATACCCAATTGTCGTCTCATATTGGGTGTCCGTACTACGCTAATCGTAAGGGATTACCATTAGCTCAATTAGTTTTAGTACCATATTCATCATTGTTACAACCATCAAATCGTTTGACATCTGGTTTAAAACTAAAAAATTCAATTGTTATAATTGATGAAGCGCATAATTTGTTAGAAGCAACAGCGTCATCAATGTCAGTCAGTTTGTCGTTGGTGAATGATTTATGCAAATTAGAAGAGTTATTTTCTGGTTATTTACAATATTACCGTTCACGTTTATCTTCATTTCTTACATTAAGACTACGTCAAATGAAACATTTTATACAACAATTAAAACTTTATTTAAATACTACACTTAAAAATATTCAATTATCATTATCTTCCATATCGGCTAATGTTATCATTAAAACAGTGAATAAATTATTTTCGGAATCGAACTTGGACAACATAAATTTAAGTGAATTTATCGATTGTTTAGAATATCAACACTTTATCATGAAATTAATTGGTTTCTCTAAATGGTCTAATAATATACAACAAACTCCGAAACATTTAGAAAATGTTGCAATTAGCCAAACAGCTTGTTCACAAATGACAAATTTATTAAACACTATGAAAAGAAAATATTCTAATGAGAATAATCAATGTGGAGATACAAGTCAGGTAAGTTAAAACATGTTTGCTTAATTCGAGTAGTTGAAGTTACAGTTTTTCTCATAGTGTAATAGGTTTCTATGTTTACAAGCGAAAATTCATTTGTGCAAACTGTTCTAGATCTTCACAAATTAACTCAATATTTTTCACCTGAATAGTTCATTTTTGTTAACTAACTATAACATTAGGAAAGCGTTTATTGGAATGTCTCCACTCAAAGTTTCAGCTATGAGTCTTAATCAAAACCTCCTTCCTATAGGCATAGTTAGTGTTGGAATTAGCAACCTTCTTCAGTCTGGACGGACTAATGCTATCTGGATGCTTCATTTCGAGTTTAAATCGGAGTCAAGCACATGAATCTGTACCTCAGTAAATGATTCATGTTGTTATTTGATAAATAGTATCAGTAAAATTGGTGAGTTATTGATTAGTAAGCAGTATCATGTTTGCCTAATGCGTTAAAACTAACCAGATTCCATCACTCCAGTCCCGTTATAACCGCTGGTCTGAGTGCCTGTATATTTCGTGGGATATTTTGAGAAGGCTTCAATTCTCTTGATATATGCCGACTTGTGTGAAACGTAGGTTCAGAGTACCCTACTGATTAACTCTAGCTACCGAAGATTGGATCACCGGTAATATCTGAAATAATGAAACATGAGATTCATCTAGGATGTAAGCATATGTGGATAAACAGAATTTTTAAACATGTATTGAGACTATCAGAAAGATACAAGATGTTTTTAAAGGTATTTCTTGAATTTCACTTTCAAGTTTTCAATCCAATTTCAGGTTTGTATTTCGAATAAAAAATCTAAAATAGATATTGAAAAGTCTGAAGGAATTGGCTCCAGTTTATTTAAATTTCATAGCTTTCTTAAAGCTTTAGAATTTTGTGAAGAAGATGCACGTATAATTATTGAACCTGTTAAGAACTCAACAAAATTAAATCTATCAATCTCCTCATCTGATATGTTGTCTTCGTCAAGTAATCTTACAGATGATACTCAAGATTTGTGTTTACGTGTGGTATTTTTAAATCCTGGAAGGTATTTAAAAGGTTAGAAACTTTATTGAATTTTATTCTATGTGTTAACATGAATCTTTTTTTGTCTTAAATGCAATCAATATGTCGGGGGTTGCATTAGTTCTCAAAAATTTCACTAGAATCAGCCAAAATATGGATTTTTCAATAAGCGCTATTTTGAATCTTCAGTTGTGGTTTTTAATGTTCAGCTAAGTTTACAATACATCTGGTTGATCACCGTCCGTAAGAAATAGACTAAACGATTGTTAATCTGTTACAGCACATAGCAATTTAGGTACTCTCATCATTGTATATCTTAATCATGTGACAAATTTTCATCCTATAGAGAATAGAGAGAGTAAAATTAAAAATTTATACTCAATTAACTATCAGAAAATGATAAAGGATAATCTTAAATTTAAATTTTGGTACTGTTGTTGGAATCAGTAGTCCTAACAGAAACATGGTTCTCAAGAAAACTGAAGATTATATTATGTAACTAGAAGTTATCAGAGAATAATCTTACATCATTTCATGGGGGGAGTCGATACGATATGGTAAAAATTCAGACTAGCGGTCAGGTCCTAATCCCATTGAAACTTGAGTGGTCTACATAATCTTTATCTTTGAACTGCCTATATTTAAAACGATTTCTAATCATGTTTATTTTTGTTTGGTATTTTATGTGTTAGTTATTTTATTAGATAAAAATTCTACACTTCTGGTCAGCTCTCTTGTTTTCTAATATCAGTTGATTGGAAGCTCGCACCAATAATCTAGTCTTGTGAACAGTCGTCACTCGGCTATACCATATTACTGGGTACCATTTATCAATCGGGATTCGGTTTATGCATCTCAACTATTACAAATCATATTCATTTTTCAAATTTGTAATTGATAACACAATGGTGTAGTAGTTTCATTCAGTTTATTTTAAAAGGACAGTCACCATCTATGTAAAACAAATTATTTAAGGTTTGAAAAGTGATCTAAAGGTCTTTGATTCGATCACTGATCGTGTGTGTTTGCTGCTTAGGAGAGTCATACTAGGATAAAACACCTGTTCAGTGATCTATAGTTTTCAATAATTTCTCAATTGATACCAGTTTGTGACAAGTGGCAATTAAAATTTTTGCTAGTCCCTCGGATATCTAAATCAAATCTCAACCAATAAGACTCGTCTGTCAACATCTCATCTACCATTTATCCTTTAACTAACACGTGCCCATAGGTGTGTTATTTGAGAATATCGACCTAGCCTGTCAGATAGATCAGATATTTGTCAACCTGCTTATTGATTGCCAACTTATTTAAGTCCCATGCTTCTAAAAATTTCATGACGTTCTTAGAGTTTTTCGACCATATGAATGAGTTTGACTGGAGAAACGATGAGATTTTAGAGAAGCATTGAAACATAGAAAACTTTAGAAATGTGAACCATTAGATACTGAATCATTGGTCTAAAAGTGAGAAATTCACAGAAAGAATGAAAGTCCTTGATTCTTCTATGAGTTGTGTGCACATTGTTTCAGCGTTTTGAAACTAGGTCAAAATCGCTATTCATTTCCCCGTATTTTTCCAGTGGTTGTTTAAAAATAGTCAGTTTGTAATGTAAACTGTTTTCAATTTGAGCAATCAACACAAGTTTTCCATCATAACGCAATTGTTTACATATAACTGCTCACAGACTAGAATTTATGAAGCGAATTGGTGTTGGTGGTGGTTCGGCTGTTGTATTTTAATTAAATCATACGATGTAACATAAAAATGAATATTGTTGAATTATAACTAATACATAACTGAATACTAGATAGATTTGTGACTAAATGTAATTTACTTCTGAGAAACGATTCTTTACTTGTAATAAGTTTAGTTGAACTAAAATTAAAATATTTTTCTCTTAAAAATGACCTCACATCCACAAAACTGAACTTTGATTTGCAGTACACCCACTATTTTAATATTAAGCGACAGTCTTCGTCTATTACAGGGTAATATTCATTGTTTTCTTTTTAAATTCAATAAATATTATTTTTATCATCAATGTATCAAAATTTTTAATTAGATCTAGTACAAGAAGCTAGAAGTGTCCTTTTAGTCGGTGGTACAATGCAACCATTCAACGAAGCCATTGAACAAATATTTATACCATCTGGTAAATTATCCAATCAAATCGTCACGTTTACATGTGATCATGTGATTAATGCGAAAAAACAATTAGCTGTTTATCCTTTAGGTGTACATATTCATCAATCGAATGGGGAAGTATTTTCATTAGATTTCACATACCAGGTTAGTGGAATAATTTGTGAAATCTTTTACTGTTTAGTGTTGGAAGTTTGAATAAGATATTGTATATACGATTCGTCTTCATTTACCATTAACAATTATCGTTATTCGTCATCAAATAATATGACCTTACGATATCGAGAATTGATTGAAGTTAGAATGTGTATATGTGTGTGGGGATCGTCAGACTTGAGACTCAAACGATGAATTGAAATGCTGCATTTATTTCATGGAATTCTTTTGCACGTGGATCTCAGTAATTCATCTGTTGTTTTCAAATCTAAAACAGGATAATTGTTTGACTGATAGGTACATGATAGCTTTATGAAAATCTTTTTTTTCGAAGGATACTGTTAGAATCTACTGACACTTGCTAACGTTTTTCTGAAGGTTGCCAACAAATATTACTTTTATTTTTACAGAAAAGTAAGAAAATCATGAGTAATACATGCTCCACTATGTACCTAGCTAGTTCTTTCTTTCACATATCTTTGACGTTCATATGACCGACTTGAACTCATTTAATGGTTCTTGTTACTTCTTCGCACTCCGTCAAGCACAGGTGTATACACATAATTCCACTAAACCGTGGTTGAAGTCCGTACGTGTGTTCCAAAAGAAGTAGTAGTCTTCTCCAACGAATACACATCGTGATATGTGTTGTTTGTCTTCACCACTGGGTTGATATTGGATGCCATCAAGTCACAGAAAGTTTATTTGTATGACTAAAATTGAAGCTTGCCGAAATATGTAGTTGAAACATCACAGCTGATATAGAAAGTCATTGTCATATCTTTGGTCGACTGAAAGACACTAGATATTATTTAAGTACCTTTCTTCTTGAATAGGTCTACTATTCTACGATTTATTGTCACTCTCGACAATAAGTACGTCCGACAACTTAATCTGTAGCAGACGACTAAAATTCTTTCAATTGAACGGATCTTTCATCTAACCTAACCCGGATTTAATGGACCAAGAAATTAATTAATTGGAAGTTATTTCTCATCTGTATTACCGTCAACAACCCTACTACTTATACTGAAAATAACAATTCAGCTTACTAATCATGGGTCTGCTTGTTTATCAAACTTCATGACTCGCCACTTAGTTTCTTAAATCTAGTGTTTGTAGTAAAAATAATATGTTTATGACAATAAATTATTGTCTCCTTATTTAACGCTAATCGTGGTAATACAGGTTGGTACTTTCTAGAATAGAAATCTTTACTGATCACCTGTGTATATGTGCGTGTGTACTTTTTGCAGATACGTTGAGACATATCAGAAAATTATCGTAGAAAAATCCTAACAACTCATTTATAAATTTATATCTCAGTATTGTATGTGTTTTGGCAACTATACATTACTTTTCACCATAATATTCTAATTTCCAATGAGTGTAATTATAAGTTTCTTTGATGTGGTGTCGCAATTTACCTTACTCATTCGTTTCTCTCTTTATTACTTGGGCTCTCTGTTTACTGTGTGGTATTTATTTCGATACTGATTTTATAAAATTAAAGTCTAACGAGTACGGTAAGCTTACTCAGTGATCTAAACCAAGGTCTTAAGTTAATCTTTCGGTAGGCAAGAGCACGGATGTTATGGAGTAATTCTTTACATAGCTTAAATAGTTCGTATCCTATCCTGTACATGTCATCTAGTTATGGCTTATATGATGTACGATTCAATCTGAATTAGAAATATGCAAAACAACATCAAAATAATGGAAAAGAAATATTTCATTATCTCACTGGGTCTCCAGCCTAATTAAACGAATACCGAAACTCATTGTATGAATAATCAATCGACTCAAAGTAAGGAGAATAGATAATTGTACTTTAAAAATCATTTCAGTTAAGCTAGAGTTGGTGAAGTAGTTAAACAATTAAGAAAAGAGTTTAACCTGTTTGAGTAAAAATCTCAAATTACTAAGACACTAGCAATTTTATTGCTTAATGGACTGTCCTGTGAAATCCTATTCAGAATTGTAAGGAAGTATCAATAATAGTAATAATTGGAAAACAACTGATCGAAAATTCACAAAGATTTTGCATAGAAAATGTGCAACAAAACATTAAATTTAAAGAATGATGTTTGAATTTGTCAACCTATTCAGAGCGAAAGATTAGTTAACTAAGGTCAGGATTATCTGTGAATTAGGAAGTAGCCGATCAGGTTCTCACAAAGCAATAATGATATAAGTATACTAACTGAATATCCAAGACAAGTAGAGCATAATATAGTACGTAGTTTGAAAGGATGCTCAAATATTTCAATATATGTATACCGTGTAAATACATATAATTGGACGATAACACAACCTTTAAGACAACTATGTAGGAAATTAAAAGAACAGATTGGTAATTGTGTTAGCATGAAATACATACTTTAGACATGCTGTGGTCTCTGAGCTGGATGGTTTGGCTAGAAATGTTTGATCGTTTTTGTGAACAACACTCGGATGTACTTCTCTTTTTAACTATGATTGGTTGAATTATTATTTATTAAAATTTTCACATTATCGTCTCTGTTGAAATAAAGCCTTTTATTAAGTTCGTAATATCACAAGTCATAAGCTGCTAATAGTTACTATTTTTGAGAAATTATATTTATGGCATCTTGAAACGGTAAAATTACATTGGTTCATACGAAATAGAACATTTATTTCATCTGTCAGAATGTGTTAGCAAAAGGCGGTTATGACATTGGTTAATACATTTGACTAGCTTTTAGCCAATAAGTCTATGGTCCGAATTCTGTTTCGGTTTCGGCAAGCGGGTACTATATAAACTGATAGCTACTTACATTATGAGTGGTTCAACTTTCAGTACATGAGTCTTTGTAGTTAATGGTTCGGCAAGTTATATTAAGCATGGTTTTCCTGTTGAACAAAAATTTACAGACGAGTTCAATCAGATTTAAGTTTGTACACCTTAGATTTTTGCGCGAAATTTATTCATCCGCGTGGTTCTGGAGCTAATATCAGTACCTAACTACCTAACCTTGGCTGCGAATTCTTAACCGTATTTTAAATATAATAGATGGTTGAAATTTCGAAGGCCACTTTTAAAATCCCTTTTTGTCGTCTGTAAAGTTTAATTCTGTCAACTTTTCTTTACAAATTTCGTTAACTCGCATCATTTCAAGGAGGAAGTTCAATGGCAATGAAAAATCTCGGCGAGTCGAAGAAATCAATCGTTTCATTTGTGTGGTTTAATCAGTTGAAATTTGAACAAACAAACACGTTTTGTTTTTGTTGAGATCGTGAATCGATCAATGTTAAACCACCAGTGAAAAGCTAGAGGCTCTGGACGGCCCGTTCGCCCTAGTACGAGACTCCTCATCAGTGCGCAACCACGATCCCATACCCGGGTTTCGAACCGAGGAATCTAATACTAGGATTAAACGGCCGTCCAGTGCTTTCAAGCTTTCAATGGTGGTCTAACATTGATCCATTCATTATCTCAATTAAAAAAACTCAACAATCTCCCCAACCCTATACTGAAAACAAACACGCTATTATTGACAATCACTTTAAAAATAAGTTTTTTCATATGGTATATTGAAGTTGTACTTGATCTAGAAAAAGAAGCGTAAGATAAATCCAATTTCCAACTACGTAGGTTAACTTATCAGACAATGAATGATATTCATATTAAAGTAACTGAGTACTGATTGTCGATAGTTTATGTTCTCAATTCTCAAAGAAACGGGGTCACATGCTCATTTATACATTTACATCTTCTGATCCATTGAAATACGTTTTGTCGTCATTATCACATATTTCGATTACAGTTTATGTTCATACTCCACACACTCAGGGCGTTGTTCTGTTGCTGTCCAAAGAAACACAGAATGCTTTTATAGGATGGAAATCTCATGGATCCAGGATCATCAAAGCATCCTTCAAAACAAAGAAAGAGGGAATTACAATGAATGTTACCCAATGTCGTGCACCTATCAATGTTAGCAATGGCGTCGATAAAGATCAGTTCTACGACAGGCTGCAACCGATCATAACGAAGTGCCCAGGAAAGTACCTGACTATCCTGATGAGAGATCTAAATGCCAAAGTCGGAATGGACAACAACGGTTATGAAGATATTATGGTACGACTTGAACTAGGAGAAAGGATCGAGAGTGGCGAGAGATTTGCAAGTCTATGTGCATCCAACAAATTGATTATACCTTCTTGCTTACACCTGTTACCCCTTAGGGAGGAGCATAGGCCGCTCACCAGCATTCTCCATCCAACTCCATATTAGAAATCCTTTCCGGTTGCTATTCATCTTTTTCATGTCTGCTCCCAATTCTCGGTGCAGTGTGTTCTTTGACCTTCCTCTTTTTCGTTTCCCTTCAGGATTCCAAGTCAGCTCTTGTTTCATGATGCAGTTTGATGATTTCTTCAATTTGTGTCCAATCCACTTCCAGCGTCTTTTCATAATCTTTTCTTCAGTTGGAATTTGGATTGTTCCCTCCCACAGTAGCCTGTTGCTGATGGTATTTAGCCAAAAGATATTGCGTATCTTGAGTAGACAACTGTTTATTAATACCTGATCTGTTATGATGACAGTTGTGGTAGTTTACTAAGTCTTAGCTCCACACAGTAGAACTATCCTGACGTTCGTATTGAAGGTTTTGACTTTGATATCGGTTGACAGTTGTTTCAAGTTCCATATATTCTTTAACTGTAGGAATTCTGTTCTTGCTTTGCCAATCCTCGTCTTTACGTCTGTATCAGATCCTCTACGTTCATCGATGTTGTTAACCTGATACGTGCTTGTCTCCACCTCTTCTAGAGTTTCTCCATCAAGTTTGATTTGGTTGGTGTTCTGTGTGTTGAATTTGAGGATCTTGCTTTTTCCCTTGTTTATATTTTATCTTCCTTTTGATTATAATAAACTCTATTATTAATTTATTTTGTTTGATGCATTTGTCTGTTACCTTCATATCACTACTTTGTTGTTGTGTAAGTTATGAAAACATTAGTGGCTGATG